ATACAGCTTTCACCTGTGGACTGTTGCATGCGTTCTGATACCGAAGGGTCACCGAATCTTTTCCCACAGGTCTTGCAAAGGTACGGCTTCTCACCTGTGTGGGTTCTCATGTGGACATTCAAGTTACCCCTCTGGCTAAAAGATTTCCCACGTTTTGCAAGAGTACAGCTTCTCACCTGTGGGGTTCTTGTATGGCGTATCAATAAACTGCTAGTTCTGAAGTATTTCCCACATGTTTCACAAGAATACGGCTTCTCGCCTGTGTGAATTCTCAGGTGTCTCTGAAATTTTGACTTGTGCTGAAAACCTTTTCCACATGTGTCACATGTGAAAGAGTTTTTACCTGTGTGAGGATCATGGTGAACCTCTGACATGGTAGACTTGTGTACATTGATTCTGGGGCTTCTGCTGTTGTGATCTTGATTCTTTTGTTTTGACTCTGCATCTCTAGTTGATCCTGAGTCTTCACGCTCGCCTCCTTTCTGATCTTGGCTCTCAGCTACATGACAGTTGTGAGAGGAGCTGGTGGTCACTTTTCAGTTCTGCTTCGCTGTGGTCACTTTCCTCAAGTAGGAGTCAACATAAAGGTGTCAGTCTCCTGCTTCACTACAAGCTGCTCTCCTCCTGACTGGTACAGAGTTCCTCCTGTTCCTCTTAACCTGTGGAGGCTGTGGGTCCTCCTGGTCCAGACCGGGGATCCTCTCCTGAATCCAGAGCTGCTGGTCAGCCAGAACCTCCTCCTCCTTACAGACATGTTGCTGTGGGAACTCTGGAGGGACAGAGAACAAAAGGAACAGGCTAACCTTACTAATGTGATGGCAAAGAAAGAAAATGCAGACACGTGAGGAATGAGTACCAAAGTATATTTAAACGCAAATCGATCTCCTCTCTTTTGTGTAAATTATAATGAAACTTTCCTCACCTATCCTGTGTAACTTTATTTCGGGTTTCCAAACGATATCCAGCAGTCTGCGCTGACGATCGATCTCTTCCTCGTACTCGACGATAGTTTTTAAAAACTCTGAATATTTCTTCAGCAGCAGCAGTTAGTCGCTCGTTGACAAACTCTCTCAAACTCTCAACTGAAGACATTGTTGCTGAATTACGAATTACAAATTAATAATTAGCGGCGCTACGGCTACAATAAGTCCTTCCAGTGATTTCAAAATATGTGGCTGGAACTGGTTTACTTCCGCCAGATGTCACGCTGATTAAGTTCCGACAGCGGAAGTGCTGGTGCTTTCGTTCCGCTTTTTCTTGTGTTTATAAGCAGGGACCAGGTAAATCAACATTATATCACGGCCCAGCAAGCAATAGCCGTCATTTCACCGTCTATTACTATAGACCTGATTTAGTCCAGCTATGAGTAACCCACTTCTAGCCACAATAACTTTACATGTGTGGCGTTTTTGCCAAAATAACAGTATAAGTAGTAAGTATGATATTCCATCATGTAAGCAAGGTCTTTAAGTTTTTTAGTTTCATTTCTTACGCATGATTTACAGCCGTGTGCCTAGACACGATTTAGCTCGTAGACAGACCGGCTATTTGTTGCCCACTTTTAGTCAAAATGGTCAAAAATGATTAATAGTGATTTCTGCCCTGGCAGCACGTGAGATGGTTGATATCCCATTATTTTTGCAATGTCAGTAATATCTACAAGATATTAAGTGTCATTAAATTGACATGGTCTATCTGTAGCCACGATTTAGCTCTGATTTGGACAGGCTACGTGTAGTCTGCTTTTAGCCCACCCAGCGAAATAGAGGCAATTAGTGGTCTAATATCAACGGTTTGGCTGTAGCCCTGTTTCAGACCAAATTGGTTACATGAAAGTTAGTTTTCACCCATGCAGCTGTTGAGGTGCGTGATATCGTATCAAATGGAAGTAAACGTTTGAAACATTTAAACTGTCTTATTTTGCTGTAACGTTCACTGCATTAACTTTCATTTTAATTTAAAACGCAAAATGCAATTACTATTTTCAACCGCTAGATGGCAGCTGTAGCCCTACTGAGGCATGACTAACTTACTGGCAACGCCAGAATTGAAATTTAGTATACATCAGTTAAATATATCCACCAATTTTAAACGAGGGATACGTTACGATTTCGGCCTTCAGCGAGCAACGGGCGAGAGTTTTAAGAACACTGGAAGCGAAAAGACATTTACTGGTCTTGTAAGTATCTGTGTCTTTGTTTGACATGTCTTCATTATTTATCTAAATTATTTGTTAACGTGTAGGAACCGGGACATTTCAGCGAGTAACAGTGTAGATTAAGGCACGTGGTTAGCTTAACATGCTGCATGCAAGTGTAAGTTAACGTTGCTCCATGATACCCACGGGTTTCCTCATGCCCTTAAAAACTCTTACATTATATTATCTGAATTCAGAGGGGGTGAACATCAAACATGTACAACCTTAACTATTATAATTTCTTATGAAAGCCACACATATATTTTACTCACTAGATCATTATGATATGAAATATGACTTATTGACTTATGACACTAAATATTTATTGCAAATTATCCAGCATACAGTCAGCAAAGACAACAATAAATATTCAGAACAGAACCTTACATTCACAGCACATAGCTCTCTCAAAAGAATAAAAGCAGTTTTTCCAATTTTCTATTTGGTTGTTCTAATGCAACATGATGGCTAAAGCATGTGACCTGTTCCATAGAGATAAATGAATCAGTAATAAATAAGAGCTTTTAAATTAAAAAGAAAAAAAACTTATAGGTGGGGTTACCTTCATCATTAGAATGATAATTAAAAGATATAGATAGTATGTTTGTTGATAGTAGTCATGTCTTAACAAACCGGTGAACATGGTCACTTATAATGTTTACTTATATTCATATTCTTACATATAATGTCATATTTAATTTGTTTGGACGGATTGCCATTTATGAGAACCTGTTATGTTTGAGTAAAAAAACTCCTTTAGCCACTATTCTGTAGTCTATTTGAGGTAGATATGTAGTCATTCAAAACCTGTGTATTTGGTCTATTCTTGGGCTATGGTTAGACATCTTTTAACCGTGAAATTGCTTGCTGGGTGTGGTCTCTATCGGTAATTAACAACAAGCCTCCTCCACACGCAGCTCATGCCACTGTGAAAACGGAATCGCGGGTGAAAAGATACAAAACGCGAGTTCTTTTAAATAAAACTTCTGACAAATAAAGTCAGAGCAGAAAGAGAGAGACAAACAGGTCTAGGTCTGTGCTTGTGTGTTTCATGGGAAAAGAAAGGTGAGCAGATTATTTTGTGATTAAACACAAATAAATTGCAGAATTAAGTAGAATTAAAATGGTGTGCAATTTATTTTCAGCTCCTACCAGTGAAAATGTTATTTTATAATCAGTGTTTCATTATGACCATTCTCTTGAGACCAGTGAGAATAACTAACATTTATACTGGTGCTGATGGGGATCCTAATAAAAATAGATTTTTCCAATAAATGTTGTGTATGCTGTCAGTTATAGTTCTTAGAAATAAATAAAATCAGAATCAGCCAAAATTAGAATCGGTAGGTCCTGTGGCGGTGGGGGGGGCAATAGGGGCCCTGGACCCCCCTATGCCCCCTCCCCTGCAGAACGAAAAGTCTACAGCAGCACCAGACCACATCCCCCCGAAGCAACCTCCATGTGGCCCAGCACATGATCTAATAGATGGCACGTGCACACAAAGGGGCTTCAGCACCTGCCCTTTTTCTTCAAGAGAAAGTGCCCTTTTTTCTGGGATGCTTTTTAAAAAAAATAAATGAATAGGCCTATACAGTATATTTATTCCTGTTTGCAACAGATTCCCTGTGAAACAAATATATTTACTGGGGGGAAAAAATCTAAATAGGCTATCACGTCGGAAGATGAGACTTTGGAGTTCCGATGCACTCTCTCTCTCTCTCTCTCTCTCTCTCTCTCTCTCTCTCTCTTGCTCCGCATCTCACTGCACAACTAGAGCGCAGCTCACAGACAGACAGCAGCCCCTCCAGCTTTTGTCCCAGCAGTTTTTTCTTGGCTTTTGTGGAGGTGAGTGGTGACAAAAGACTAAACTACCAGTGCCTCCAGTTTACCGCTAATTAAACAGAAGACAATATAGGCCCATGTCTTGCTAATGCATGACTCATGAGCTGAGCTAGTGTAATAAGTTAGCTGAAGTTTAGCTAAGGCAATATCTCATGGCCATACAACCTACTGTACTGATGGAGACACTACAGGTGAACACAGTAACATTTGTGTCTAATAACGTCATCACAATCGCCACCTTGATATGCAAATAAGGCGTTAACTAATTAAAATGCGCCAATTTGCACACATTTGACAAGTCACTGCAGGTGAATGGGGTAAACAAAATAACTAAAGCATATCACCACAGAACTTCCCCAGTTAATGACTTACATCAAGAGTATTTCCTCTGAAATGTGCTTTGTAAATATGCAGATAAGCTTGTTTTTGGTAATGTAGAATAAATCTACAGATGAAAATAGACCGAGGTTATTAGGCTTAAAACCAACACCATCTAAAGGAGTATTCTTGAAGTTTTATTTCCATTAGAGTAAAAGAAGAAAAAATAGACCAAAGTCTCAAAATTGACCACTCCATGAAAAAGCGCCTTGAAGAGTAGGCGTATGGTATGGCTCCTCATCTAATAACTCTCCATTCTATTAGTTTGTTGATTGATCCTTATATAATATAGACAGCCCTCCCTCAAATGTGAAACTAAGTTTGTGTGTATGGTAAATGTAATATAATAGCAACAATAATGAAGTATTTAAATAACATTTCTTTGAATTATGCCTGCAGCCCAATGCCACAGTTTAGTGTGAAGATTTGTGAAGTGTTATTCAAATAACACCAAAAGAATTGAAAAGATTTGCCTTGTGAAAAATAAACAAGTTATTAATGAATCTATGTCATAAATATATACTTGAAACTAGTAGCATAGAAAACTGTTGTCGTGTGGACAGAGTGGACCAAAATGCAACGCTCAAGATTAATAGGTTTTATTAGGGGAAAGAAGGGGTTGAGGCACTGGAGTTGAGGGAGAGGTGGATGCCGGGGAAACGCAGGCACGGGGAACCAAGGAGACTGAGACCAGAGAGCCACTGTGGGCCGAGGAAGAGAGGAGGCACTGGAGAACTGATCAGGGGGTTGGTGGAGGAGTGTGGTGGCAGGCTGACTGGGGAGGCACGAGGGAGAGCCGGGAGGACGGCCTGGAAGAAGTCCGAGGGGAGAGGGCAGGTGAGCGAGCCCAGCTGACTTGACAGAGGACAAGGGTGAGTGAACCTGGGCAGAGACAGACAGACAAACAGGGTTAGTCACTCAGGGAAAACCAAGAACAGGGTAACAGAGATTATGCAGGTTACACGAGATATTAGATCCCCAGGATCTAATGTTAAGTAATATGATGTGTTCTTCTACACATCCAAACAGTCTCACACACACAGTCTAAGGTCATACAGACGCACTGTCTGGAGTAAAGCCGTCGTCCTCCTGATCAATTCGGAGCTCCATCAGAGCATCTAAACCTTTCAGACGCTAAAAGTTGAATTGTGATACCACTGCAGAGTTTCCTGTCTGACCTGTCAACTTTTTAACTCATTTTGTTTTGTTTTGCAGCATAAATGTCCCATGATATTAACTGTGACATTAATGCGTGCCTGGAAACGTTTAAATGACTGACAGCAGCAAGGCTGTCACTTTGTGTTGAAAATTGTGAGCTCAGGGCTGGTTGCTGGTAATGAGCCTCTGTACGCCTCTGCCATTACAAAACAGGTGTTTACAGCTACAATAGTCATTTACATAAACAATGTCTACACTGCATTTCTGATCAATTTGATGTATTTGTAATTGACAAAAACTGTGAAAACAAGGAAGTTTCTGAGACCCCAAACCTTTAAACAGTAGTGTATACAGTATTTCACTAAAGTCAATCGCTCACATTTTTGTAAATATTTTATTATATTTCATGTGACAAAACTGAAGAAATGACACTTTGCTACAGTGTAAAGTAGTGAGTGTACAGCTAGTCTAACAGTATAAATTTGCTGTCCCCTCAAAATAACACATCACACAGCCATTAATGTCTAAACTGCTGGAAAAAAAGTGAGTACACCCCTAAGTGATGGATGGAATGTGGATTTTCAATTGACCACTTACTCTGACTCCGATTTCCCACATGTGCCACAAGAATATGGCATCTCACCTGTGTGGGATCTCATGTTTTTTAAATGCAAGTGTCACTGAATCTTGTCTTGCAGGACTCACAAAGCTACAGCTTCTCACCAGTGTCGGTTCTCATGTGGACTTTCAAGACTTTCCTCCAGCTAAAAGATTTCCCACATGTTTTGCAAGAATATGGCTTCTCACCCGTATGGGTTCTCCTATGGTATTTAAATGTTGAAGTGACACGGAATCTTTTACCACAGGTATTGCAAATGTACGGCTTCTCACCTGTGTGGGTTCTCATGTGTAGTTTCAAGTGACCCCTCTGGCTAAAAAAATTTCCACATATTTCACATGAATACAGCTTCTCACCTGTGTGGACGCTCTTATGTCTTTTTAAGACACCCCTCTCACTGAAAGATTTCCCACATGTTTTGCAAGAATACGGCTTCTCACCTGTGTGAATTCTCAGGTATGTCTGAAAATCTGACTTGTACTGAAAACCTTTTCCACGTGTGTCACATGTGAAAGAGTTTATACCTGTGTGAGGATCATGGTGAACCTCTGACATGGTAGACTTGTGTACATTGTTTCTGGGGCTTCTGCTGTTGTGATCTTGATTCTTTTGTTTTGGCTCTGCATCTCTAGTTGAGTCTTCATGCTCGCCTCCTTTCTGATCTTGGCTCTCAGCTACATGACAGTTGTGAGAGAGGAGCTGGTGGTCACTTTTCAGTTCTGCTTCACTGTGGTCACTTTCCTCATAAGTAGGAGTCAACATAAAGGTGTCAGTCTCCTGCTTCACTACAAGCTGCTCTCCCTCCTGACTGGTACAGAGTTCCTCCTGTTCCTCTTTAACCTGTGGAGGCTGTGGGTCCTCCTGGTCCAGACCGGGGATCCTCTCCTGAATACAGAGCTGCTGGTCAGCCAGAACCTCCTCCTCCTTACAGACATGTTGCTGTGGGAGCTCTGGAGGGACATAGAACAAAAGGAACAGGCTAACCTTACTAATGTGATGGGAAAGAAAGAAATGCAGACACGTGAGGAAATGAGTACCAAAATATATTTAAACGCAAATCGATCGATCTCTGTTTCGTGTACCTTTTATAATGAATCTTTACTCACCTATCCTAACCTATTTGTTTACATCCGCCGGATGTCACATTATTAAGTTCTGACAGCAGAAGTGCGGGAGCTTTTCTTTCTGCTTTCAACTGATGACTTTTTATTAAAAACTTCTTTATGATCAGCAGTGGCGGACGAAGTACACAAATCCCATACTTGAGTACAGATACCCTTGCTAAATATTAATAGAAGCTTCTTTTAACTTCAATTTAAATTTCTACTTGAGTCGAAGTTCAAAAAGTACCTACTTTTAAAAATAGGCTATGTAAGTATTAAAAGTTAAAAGAATTATGGTTCCCCTTCGAGGGAACTCGAACTGCGTCGGTGATGACAGTATGGGAAAGCCTCTAGGCATGGCAGGGCTGAACTATGAATGATGAATGGTGCCAGCCTGCACACGATGGCTGTCTTGCAGGCATACCAGGCCGATCTCCTTCGGGACTGTGATGTCAGCGTTTGGGGCTGCGGCTCAACGCGAAGAAGAGCGTGCTGACACCCGCCCAATGGACTGCGTTCCTAGGGGTGGTGTGGGACTCAACGATGATGTGGGCCCACCTGTCTCCCGCATGCATCGAGTCCATTTTATCCTCAGTGACCAGAGTGCAGTTAGGCCGCGCCATCACCCCCTCCGGTTACGCCATCACACACTACCGTTCTAGTAACACCAATAGGATTGGAGTAGTTTCATTCATAGTTCAGCCCTGCCACGCCCAGAGGCGTTCCCATAGTGTCGTCACCGACGCAGTGTCTCGTTCCCCTTCTCGGGGAACAAGGTTTACATACGAGACGTTCTTTTCAGTGGTTGCTGACATGACAAAATTTAAAAGCGATCATCAAAATAGTCAATTAAAGTTCTGTTAATTACCTAATTATTAATACTTGTAAAAGTTTTTTTAGCAGTTTAATTTATAACAAAACTTCATATTTGTTTGTTTGTGTGTAAAAGCTTTAATTTGTAAAGTAACTAGTAACTGAAGTTGTCAGATAAATGTAGTGAAGTAAAATCTACAATCTTTCTCTCTGAGATGTGGTAGAGTAGAAGTAGAAAGTGGCATAGAAGAAAATACTAAAGTAAGGTACAAAAGCCATAGGTATCATTTACAGTGGGGACGCTGGGGACATGTCCACACCAATTCTTGAAATGGCTGATTTTGTCCCCACCACTTTTTAAAGGCAATTGTTAAAAATGTCCTAAAAAATTCTTGCACAAAAAAATGTTAACAAATGAAAATGCTTTGAGAAAGGTTTATTTGCACAATAAAAAAATGCACCGTCCAAAAAAAGTTACTAAAAAACCCAGGTGCTGCTGATTACAACATTATATTCTGTTTCTGACAGCTGACTTTTTTGTTTCTCTTTATTTAAAAAAAGTCATTTCCACCATAAATTGGAGCAGAAAATGTCTCCAGAACGCATGAAATAAAGTGTTTAATGCTCCTAAACACAACGTGCCATTGCTGATAATGAGCCACTTTACACCTCTGTAAATATTCTATTACGAATCAGCCATTTACAGCTACAATAGTGATTTACAACATTAACAATGTCTACACTGTGTTTCTGATCAACTTGATGTATTTGTAATGGACAGAAACTGTGTTTTTCTTTTGAAAACAAGGAAGTTTCTGAGACCCCAAACTTTTGAACGCTAGTGTATATAAATACAAAGACGCACCTGCTGCAGAACTGTGAGGTTATACATCTTTTAAACTGAACTGACCCAGGCCTTGTTGATGAGACCAGCTGCAGATAGGAAGAAACTGTTCATGTGGCGTGAAGTTTTGGTCCTGATGGACCGCAGCCCTCTGTCAGAGTGGAGTGTTTGAAACAGTCTGTGTCCGGGAGGGAGGGGTTGGCCGGAATCTTTCCTGCTGGCCTCAGATTCCTGGAGGAGTACAGGTCCTGAAGTGATGGAAGATTGCAGCTGATGACCTTCTCAGCAGAGCAAATGATACGCTGCAGCCTGCCCTTGTCCCTGGCAGTGGCAGCAGCGTACCAGATGGTGATGGAGGAGGTGAGGATGGACTCAATGATGGCGGTGTAGAAGTGCACTACTAGAACTGCATTACTGACTTTGGCAGGCTGAACTGCTGTAGGAAGTACATCCTCTGCTGGGCTTTTTTGATGTTCTTTTTGTTTTGACCACAAACCTCTAGAACTGAATAATCTCCCACATTATTACTTGTCTGTATGCTGCCTTCTGTGTCGTGTCAATTCAGACACATCAACACATCTTTTTGTGCAAAGCTACAGCTTCTCACCTGTGTGTTCTCGGTAGCACTTTATAATAACTACACACTATAAAGCATTAGTTAAGTATTAGTAAATACTGATTTAATCATTTCTAAAGCATTGTTCATATATTAATACACATTAGTAAGTCATTCTTTATTATCTACATACTATCAAGCAGTTGTTAAGTATTAGTACATTTTTAATTCATCATTTATAAACCATTGTTCTTATGTTAATACACATTAGTAAGTCATTTATAAACATAGTTATACATGTATTCTTTCTTAATAAGCTCATCTATAATGTGCTTAATAATTGTATATTCACACTTTATACATGATCGGTTCACTATTTAAAAATTAAGTATTATTTTAATGACATTAATGACACCATTTTTATATTTCTTAATGGTTCATAAATTTATTTGTAATGTTTTTAAAAATTATTACATAACTGCCCTTTTTTTGATACTTTCCCAAGAAAGAATATAAACAATCTCAGTATAACTCGTAAATCTACTAGTGCCAAGCCCAAAGGATGCTACTAAGGCTACCCGAAAGATGCCCCAGCTAACTTTACTGGGTAAAAGCCTCACCATTACAGGCCTGGTACCGTTTCTCTGAACTCCTCAACAAAACTCCCAAGACCTGGCCTTCCAGAAATCTGATGTGATGGGACCAGCAAAGGGTTGCTTGGATGGTCTGTTGAAGGACACCAATCTTACTCCCCCCCATCCCCACTCCCCTAGTGCTTTGAGGAACCGCTAACTTGACATGACATGACATGTAATTATTTAGAAATGGTCTAATTATGCGTCTTCATAGATGTTTTATGACACTTAATAATACTGCAATTCATGATTAATTCTGGTTGTTAGTAATGGTTAGTAAAGTATTTTGCGTGAGCTCATCTAAACTGAGGCCTGTCTATATGTCCTTAAGCATTTACAAATGAAATTTAAAGGCAATAGATATTCTCTAAACATTTGTTAAAGTATTTCATGATTAATTCAGGTAGTAACAAAGCAATTTCTAGTTTTTGAGTGAGCTCATCTAAAGAGAGTACTATCTATGCCTTTCAAAGCATTTACAAATGATATTGTAACAATCAGTTGTCTTCTGAACAGAAAAAGGAAACTGACAACACAATGGGATACAGAACTTATTATTTATTACAAATTGTCTTTCAGCCCTTCTTTCATAAACCATTGCTGCATAAACTGTACAATTGTTGATAATAAATTAACCATTTACAAATCCAACCCGTTCTCACTCCCATTTCGTCACATATGGACTAATGGTCAAGACCCCTTGATGTCACTTTATAACACATTTGGGAGCCACTTAGCGTCATACTTCAACGTACTGGAGAAAGCCCTGTAGCATAGTTTTTGAATACTAAAGACAGGTGTAGAATATTTAACACTAGTGTAGCACTTCTGCTAACTTACCAACCTAGGTTCTGAGGAGTAGTGTAGGGGTAAGAAATAGACTGTGTGATTAAAGAACAGTAGGCAGGTAGTGCACCAACCATGTTTGAAACAATCCCCAGAATAAGAAGAGCTCTTTCATAAAAAATACAATTTTAAAAAGTATCCAATGTCTTTCAGTTATTTGTATCTCTGCCCAGGAAGGGTAATGAATTTGTGGTAGATCTTTCTTATCTGCCAGTGTCCTGTAATCTGATGTGTCAGTCCTGTTGAATGGGATCCGAAGCAGCTGGCCACACTGCGGTCCGATCTCATCATACAGGGTGAATCATCGCTGGGACTGGCTCACCATCTGCATCCAGTGAAGAGTTCACCACTAAGCTATAATCCAGGCTGCACATAACGTTATAGTGCAGAATAAATCAGATAAATCATCACAGTCAATGTTCTTCAAATAACATCTCATCCCTTTTGTCAAAACTCAATATCATCACCCTGTTGTCTAGGGACTCTTCTTAAGTTTTACATTGTTATACCAAAGACTTTACCAGGTAGCATTTAAGCAAGACATCACTACTATGAATTGATTAAATTTCTTCATATCACAGCATTACATTACATTAAATTACAACCAAAAAACACTGAACAGAGTTTACACATTTTAAGCAAGGAGACAACTTTAACATGTATTATCATAAATACTGTAAATAAAAATACCTCTTAAGGTACTACATGTGCTTACACATCCAAAAGTACCTCCAGAGATTAGTTTGAAACCACGACACAACAAAATACTGTCAAACTGTTCACGACATCGTGCAATATTCTCGACTGCTTTTAATCTACAGTATATGGTTTTATCCCACCCATTTAAGATAGCATCACGCTACACTTTTAACTCTCTCCTAAAGGTTACTAACGTTACTCACCGGAGTTTCCAGGGGGAAAAAACTCCTTTGGCAAATGGCGGCATTCAAAAATCCTGAGTGATGTTGTTTTTATACATAGGACTCCCCCTTCTGGGCCTGTGTGATCTCGTTTTTCCAACTGCGTCTTAGCCCGCTTCTCTCTGTTCTTCCTCGATGTGGTCTGGCGCTAAAGTGAGCGCACACTGTAGAGAGATTAGTGGATGCGCCGAGGGTCAAAATAGCGCTGCTTTAAGGCCTGTATTTTTTTATGTGGGCTACAGTCTATGGTAAGGAGGAGACATAGGCTGCATCTGAAAAGTCACAAAAATCTCCTTTCCTGACCACCTTTCCTTGACCTCGATGGAAAACGTCATGAGGTCAAGGAAAGATGTGAAGGAGAATCCGTAAGGACTTAGGAAAAGAGGACGACGGGTCTAAGGGAATCCGACTGCTCTTTTCTAGGCGACGTAATTATGCGACGGCGGATTTTACTGACGTGACCTGCCGTGATGAAACTACAATGTTCTGAAGATGGACTACAAAAAGCGCATCTTTGACACTGCGCCCCGTGTTGTTGTAATGCAGGCTATCTAAAGGTGGACAACACGGTAGAAAATATTACTTCATAACCAAGATAGCAAAAAGGCAGAAAGTGCTGGCTACCAGTCACTAAATAATGGACAAGGTTGTCACATTGAGAATGCTTGCTCAAACTCACCCTCCTGCCCACCCATATGCGTATTTATCAACATGAATCCCAATTGTATGTAAATACAGTGTTTCCCACAGAATGATAGCGTAACTGTGCCGAGAGAGAGAGAGAGAGAGAGAGAGAGAGAGAGAGAGAGCGAGAGAGGGAGTGACAGGGCGAGAGGAGATGCTGAGAGAATATATGCGCTGTGAGGCGCTCTTATCAAATACGATTTTACCCATTTTAAATAGTAACAAAATCAATCGAAAGTAACAAATAAATCAGTGTGTGGGAAACGCCTACTGTAGAGGTCATCCAGCTTGATCTTTGCCTTTAGTAAGGCGAGGGTGTCAGCATCTGTGACTGAAGTAAAATTAATTAATGATATTGCTGATGGCTGCAGTACATAACGAGAGGTTACACGCTGCAACATTATACTCACTTTTATAACGTTAGAAGAGCTCACATGGGTCTCAGGCCTACTGTTGACAGTTTAAGTATGCATATTAGAGTTATGGCATAAGAGAAAAAAGGCTTAATAGCCACAGGTAACTTCCATGGTGATCAACATCCTTTATCATGTCATCATGTCATGGTTGGTGATTTATTTTTTTTATTGTAGAAAACACTTTCTAGAAAATGGAGTTGAAACAGTAGGCTGTTAGATTACAAATAAGCCAAAAGAAAGAAGGTAATTGTGATTCTTATTAAAGTATCATAATGTGCGTCTGTATTGCAAGGATCTTGCTAAATATGGTCAATGGATTTCATCATTTGAGATTGAGAACACGCGTCGCTTTAAATGTTGCTGCCGCAAGGAAATGTGGGCCGGCATTCTCTCTTTCCTTTCATAAAGCATGGTCAGGTGTACCCTAGGCTAAAGGAGATATGAAAGGAAGCATTGAGGCACCTTTCCCCAGCTTTTAGAGAATTCGAACAGCTCTTATCATGGCTGCCACTGAAATACTTCCGGTTCACTTCACTCAGTTAGGAACCTTCCTAAGCAAAAAAGACTTTACGAACACAGCGCAGGTCCAGCTGCAGCCCGCAGACCTGACGGAAGTTGACCTTCTGAATATGGTTTGTCCCAGAAAACACCACGCAAAACGTGGTGACGTTAATCTCGGCTGACGTACAGTATAGCTGCAAATGCAAACCGTTTCATTCTTTAGAGGCCAACAACAGAACTCGAAAAAGTGTTCGGAGATGAGAAGCTCCGCAAGTGCCGACGGGTCTCAGTAACGTTACCGGAGGCTGCACAGCAACACAATAGACACTGTTTATTTAACAGCTATACGTTTTGTACGCGGTGGCTTCTGGGACAAACCATATATGGAAGGTCAACTTCCATCATGTTTGTTTGCAGGCTGCAGCTGCAACATTCTCTCTAAAAACAACACTAAGGGGGTGTTAACTACGGTGGCCCAGAGGTCAAATACAAAAGCCACAACGGAAACACAAAAAGCCACAACACAAATAAAAAAAGCCACAACACGAATACAAAAAGCCACAACACAAATACAAAAGCCACAACACAAAAAGCCGCAATGGAAGAGAACCACAACGGAAGTCGACAACAAGAGACGTTAAGTAATAGGTAATTACTTTCCATTGCACACAACCATACGGTAGAACAGCGCCAGTGTGGCCGCCCCACATTCAAGAGGTCTGGGTTTGAATCCTGGAAAGAACAGTCCTTATGTGACTTTCTTCCGCATAATAGGGTCTGCGAAGAAGTTTTTGCCCGTTTGATGAATAAGTAATATGTTGTTCTGGTCAAATAAAATACAGCGGGATACTTGTGTGACTTAAACAGCTGTCTGTGCAGACAAGCTTCAGAAATAGACTCAAAATGTGCAAAACAAAATGGAAGGAGTCTATGTTTACCACTGAGATGACTTTATACATTTCATATTTTAATGTCATCTCCATACTACAGTTGTACTGGTATGGTACACAGACCCATACAGTATTTTTGCAACATAGGTCTAATCATGGAACACACGCAGGGTTCAAGTTATAATCTGAGCATTGGGGATCTCTAACTGGAATAATACTTTTTATCTAAAACAATCATTAGGCACATCATTGATGAGCTCTTAGTTACAGATGATCTGTCTCAGGAATTCAGTACCGGGCCTGTAACAACGAGGCTTTTTCACGCCACCAGCAACTTTAGCTGGGGCATCTTCGGGTAGTCCTTTGGGCTTTGCCACTAGTAGATTTACGAGTCATGCTGAGATTGTTTATATTCTTTCTCAGGAAAGTATATAAAAAAAAAAGAGGCAGTTATGTAATAATTTTTTTTAAACTTTCCAAATGATCTTATGAACCATTAAGAACTCATATAAATGGTTTGTCATTAAAATAATACTTTATTTATAAATAGTGAACCGATCATGTATAAAGTATGAAAATACAATTATTAAGCACATTATCGATGAGCTTATTAAGAAGGAATACAATTTGTATAACTATGGTTATAAATGACTTACTAATGTGTATTAACATAAGAACAATGGTTTATAAATCATTAATTAAAAATGTACTAATACTTAACAACTGCTTCATAGTGTGTAAATCAGGGGTCAGCAAATAAGTCTGACATCGGGCCAAATTTTTTTCCAGCTGTTACATGGCGGGCCATAACATTATTTCAGTCAAATTATTTCAAAACCTTAGATATTCATGAGCATGTTTAGCTCAGTTGATAAAGTGCGGGACTCCCGTTGGAGGAGTTTTAAGTTCAATTCCAAAATCTGGCTGACTTTTTTTCCCCCTTGTCAAACAAATTGATTAGCCTATAAGGACACTTTTCACAATAAAGCATGTGCTGCAGTGTATGTGCGTCCCGGCGTTTGATCTGCATTTACAAACCTATGGACACTAATTTTCATTCAATTCAGGGGAATTCAATCACACATTTAGTGATGGCTTTTGCAGAGCTGTGTCAAGTAAGCCAGAGACTCTTTCGGATGTCCTTCAGAACATTTCAAAGTAAAAGCTCTCAATAAACTCAACATGAAGCACTGGTGTAAAAGAAAACGTTCTTGCACTTTTTTTGGGAGGCACAATCATTTAAGTCCTCTTAAATGATTAAATGATTATAAGTGATTATGTGAGTAACTGTAGCTGTCATGACTGAGATCTATTTCAGTATTAGTCATCAATTTTTTTATTTTTTTATTTTTCTGCTATCAAAGCAATCTGGATAGGACAGTTCTGGCCCACGGGCCGCTAATTGCCGACCACTGGTGTAGATAATAAAGAATAAAACATTTATAACTGTGTTTATGAATGACTTACTAATGTTTATTAAGATATGAACAATGCTTTATAAATGATGAATTCTGTATTTACTAATACTTAACTAATGCTTTATAGTGTGTAGTTATTGTAAAGTGCTACCATGTTTTCTTCTTATGTGGATTTTCAATTGACCACCAACTCTGAAATCTTTTCCACATGTTTCACAAGAATACAGCTTTTCAACTGTGTGGGTTTTCATGTGGACATTCAAGTGACTCCTCCGGCTAAAAGATTTCCCGCATGTTTTGCAAGAATACGGCTTCTCACCTTGTGGGTTCTTATGTGGACATTCAAGTGACTCCTCCGGCTAAAAGATTTCCCACATGTTTTGCAAGAATATGGCTTCTCACCTGTGTGGGTTCTCATGTGAAGTTTCAAGTAACAATTCCGGCTAAAAGAATTCCCACATGTTTTGCAAGAATACGGCTTCTCACCTGTGTGGGTTCTCAGATGGTTTTTCAATGTTGAAGGGTCACGGAATATTTTACCACAGGTCTTGCAAAGGTACGGTCTCTCACCTGTGTGGGTTCTCATGTGGAGTTTTAAGTGACCCCTCTCACTAAAAGATTTCCCACATGTTTTGCAGGAATACGGCTTCTCACCTGTGTGGGTTCTCATGTGTACATTCAAGTGACTCCTCCGGCTAAAAGATTTCCCACATGTTTTGCAAGAATACGGCTTTTCGCCTGTGTGAATTCTCAGGTGTGTCTGAAAATCTGACTTGTACTGAAAACCTTTTCCACATGTGTCACATGTGAAAGACTTTTACCTGTGTGAGGATTATGGTGAACCTCTGACATGGTAGACTTGTGTACATTGTTTCTGGGGCTTCTGCTGTTGTGATCTTGATTCTTTAGTTTTGGCTCTGCATCTCTAGTTGATCCTGAGTCTTCATACTTGCCTCCTTTCTGATCTTGGCTCTCAGCTACATGACAGTTGTGAGAGAGGACTGGTGGTCACTTTTCAGTTCTGCTTCACTGTGGTCACTTTCCTCATAAGTAGGAGTCAACATAAAGGTGTCAGTCTCCTGCTTCACTACAAGCTGCTCCCTCCTGACTGGTACAGAGTTCCTCCTGTCCTCTTTAACCTGTGGAGGCTGTGGGTCCTC